TCGTACTAACTACTTACTTCGTTACTACTCTCTCCTACTCCTACACTTACTTACTTACTTACTATAATATTAGTTAGTTAGTAGTACTACACCTACCTCTCTCTCTCTCTCTCTCTCTCTCTCTCTCTCTCTCTCTCTCTCTCTCGTATGGTAGACGGAACCGTCACATCCTAGTAGCTATGGCTCAAACCAGATACACCATTACCAGGGTAAGAGTGCACACATAGATTTGCAACCCCATGACTGCACAAAAGATTCTGTGAGTGCATGAGAGAGTGTGTGTGTGCATGCACACGCGCGAATGTGTGTGTGCATGCGCATGCGCATGTGTGTTTTGAATGAACCAAAGATAATAGTTAATAAATCATGCTATCACACAATGATCACATAAGGCAAGGATAAGAAAGCCACTAACGACTTCCACTTTCATAGGACAAAATGGAGATCCAACCACTCCACTCAGTTTTGGAAGTTTAACAAATAGGTGTCACAACAAGAGGATAGTTCCACAGTCTAATGACACTGCTAAAACAAGAACAGAAGGAAAAGAAACAACAATTGACTGAAATAAGAGGTGATCCTTAAATCTCCAGATATTTGTGTCTTCCTAAAGTGCTAACTATTTCTATTATAAAGCATTCCGCCATGCAACTAATGAAAAAGTATACATTACAAGTGTCTCTACCCAGAAGACACGGCTTCAAGTGTTGACTACGTTTCCAAGATCGTGCACCATCAATTTGGCACTTATGAAAAATAATTTTCAGTCAAGCGTCAAAGCACATTACCTGAATTCTTCTCTGCAATTTGACATCTCCATCAGCCACAACGCCATCAAGTTTGAGAAGCTGATTCATCAAGAGTTCAATCAAACCCAAGACCTCATTCTCAGCTACTTTTCCACCTCTGGAGATAACAGATTCAAGAGAAGCAACCTGGAAAAACCAAATGTATTAATAGTGTGTTTCTTCGGTAAATTCGAGTAGACTATATTCCTCGTAAAAAATTAGTAGACTTTAGTGAGCTAGAAATGTAGATTGACAATAAAAGATGCGAAGATTTGTGTTGATTAATAGGGTTCAAATTCCGTTGCCAACCTGGGCCGCAAGCTTATCCACCTCCAAACTGATCTCTGCAATGGATTTTGAAGCTCTTTCCATCTTTGCATTCTTCCTCATCTCAATATACCTGTATACACCCATATCACCAAAATATGAATCTAACATTTCACAGTTCTTATACAGGTCCCATTTCTGTTTCAATGTTCACTACAGAAAATCAAGACTGCACCCAATATGGAAGACACTGTGACCTTTTCTTCAATTACTTTGCCCTTAAGAATATTGAAGTTTTTTTTTTCAAGAAAAAGGCTTTCATGGGTTTCCTGTAATTCAATACTACCTTCTCTCCTGACTGGTGGGATCTTCAATCAGCACAATCTTTGACTTGTCCTTCACTCCCGCCATGTCCAAATAAGCATTAGAATCCCTCTCCTTGTCTTTAAAAAGAAGCTTTTGGTCTTGAGTGTGGAGTCCTGTCTCGGATGCAAGCAATTTCTTCAACTCCCCTGCAGCATATCAATCATGAGAAGCCACATCCAAGTTGAAGTTCATTTCAAAAACCACAAAACTCACATATCACGATGGTTATGCTACAACTTGAATGTGCTTTGCCAAATAGGCATCACTGATGACACATAGAGTGCTGCAAATTTACCGGGACAACATCCTAACAAGCCCAAACACAGATAATGCAGGTCCCTTAAACACACTATAAAAAGCATCTTAGCTTTTTAGTGGACCGTTTAAATGTTCAGGTGGCAACTTAAGATCATTGAGTACAAACCCACCTAAGCAAATTAAAGAACATGTGATTGGTCATCCATTAAAACAAACCCGAAATATATATGAGTTAACAACACCCAATGCTCAAACCCCTGCACTTCACTAATATGTTTGCACTCTCTATGTCAAGGTCAAAGAGGCCTAGGGTTCGCTGCACTTGTAAGTGAAACGATAGGTGGACCAAACGTGGCATTGGACTATCTCAACAAGAATAGGAAAATGCTCCAACTATGCCATTGGATTTCCAAATTAAGGACAATGCCAGCAAAGTAGGATATATAAACCTCTTTCAAACAACTATAAATCTTTCAGACAACAATAAATCTCTAAATAAATTCATAAATGAAATTAGAAGAAATGCAGTCATTAACATTAGCATTGAATGATTGAAGCACCTCGATGAATACATAGAAATGCTCAAAATTTGCATCTGCATTTCAAAACCTAGGAGCAACACAGATAATGAAGGGCCTGTGGACTTCTTCAAACAACTATTATGCTTTTAAAACAAACACATGCACCATAGATCAATACATACATATAGGCAAGGTCAAAGAGAGGAAACAGGGTCCTTTACATTAGTAATATGAAGTGACAAAGAGAGATAATAAAAGTGAAGTAATTATGTTATCGACCCGCACCCGATTCGTTTCCAATTTCCAATTAAGTATGGAATAAAGGAATTGAATTTACATACGCCCCACGTGTTACGCGGGCATTAATTCACAGATAAAGGAAAAGTTACAATTGCCAAATGCATCAACGAATTCAATATCGATAATTACAATTGCCAAATGCATCAATAAACTCAGCACTGATCACAAAGCAATTAGACCAAAACAATCGATGGCGTGAGAAAGCGGAGAAAGCGAAGGAATCTTACCAAATGTGGCTTGAGAACTGATGTGGATCTCATGCATCAAAGCTCCATATTTTACTCTAACCCTGATGGTGGGAGCTGGCGCAGAAGAAGCCTGATCAATACCTAGGCTCCTCTTCTGAACAAGCATTCCTCCTGGCCTGAGCTCCCAATCCACTATTTCAGAGCCACCGCCATTTGAGCTCCCATTCATCGTCATGGGTCCTGGATTCTTTGCCCTGATTCTCATCATCTTGAATTTGAAAGGAGGGTATCTGAAGCTCGGAAATATCCCCGATTGAACGCTTGGTCCCAAACCTCTCTCTGAAAGGCTCGGAAGACTGAATGAAAGGGGATCAAATTCTTCACGGCCGACACTGAAATTTTCTCTAATTTTATAACTGAAACTCCTGGCTCTTCAAATAATAGATGAAATGAGAGAGCGAATAGATTGAACACTTGTCTGAAACAATGGCGTGCAAAAAACACAAAGGCCAGAGAAAACTGTTGCCTACAATGAGTTGCCCTTTAGAGAGACCATAGAACCTCTCCACTGGGCTCCACTGCCATTTTCCATCGATTTATACTTCTAATTCTGCCCAGAAATGAGTTGCAACCACTAATTATTTGACTACAATACACAACCAAGTATCTCCAAAATTGCAGGTTCCAGAAAAGGAAGAAATAATATCCTTTTTCAACTGTTGTGGAGCTAATGGACTCAGATCAACTCAAAATCATCACAAATAGACTCAACTGTTTCCTTTTCCCTCTAAAAGTGGCAAACCAGTTCCAGATCACCGATTTTAACCTCCAAATCCAAAATCACTCCGAAATAATCGCCTATTTCAATCCCTAAACTGCTAAAAGTAGCAGAATTTAACTCAAGAAACCCTAGATTTCAGTTTATTTCACCCCAATCTCTTTAAAACGTGTTCAGATCTCCTCAAACTCCGTTTCAAGAGAGACTTAAGAGGTAGTCAACAAGCTTTGAATTCAAGAAATACAGAAATTTGAGGAATGAAGTCAGAAACCTTTCCAGGCTTCAAATTTCATTCCAACCATCTGAGGTAATTTCCGGCCACTACTCCGGTCAAAATACCAGAAAAAAAAAAAAAAAGACTCCACTTCGTCTTTCTAAAGCATAAAGAACAAACCGAAATGACCACCACTGAGAGCTCAAACGTATCAGTTCCACTAATGCGCTGTAAACTCCGGCACAAACCAAAGACTGTATGACTTCCCGATCGAAATTCCGGCCAAAACCGCCGGAAAATGTGAGTTATCAATCGAAACCGCGAATGCACTGCACATTCACTGTAACAAAATCACCAACCGAGAGAGAGAGAGAGAGAGAGAGAGAGAGGAACAATGATATTACACGGAGAGACAGAGAACAAAGAAGATCGTGTGGAGAGAGAGAGAGAGAGAGAGGAAATGAATATTATGGAACCGAGGCAAATAGAGCGAGGGTTCGAATATATAAAAGGAAAGGAGAAAGCCGCCAGAGTGAAGAGAGAGAGTGAGAGAGAGAGCCGACAGAGAGGAGAGAGAGAGCGAGAGATGGGTTTAAAAGTGAAAATCAAAGAGTGGAAGCTTCGCTCTTTTACCTAATCATAAACCCCCAAAATAAATAAATATCGGAACAATAAAATATAAGTTAAATTAAAACAAGACAAATTACATTAGATTAAAGTAACTGCAACATGTTATAAAACTATAGAATAAAATAATATGAAAAAAAAAGAGGGATCATTAAATCCTAGGGTAAAAATACATGATAGGGTTTTAGGGGCATTTAAATTAGGGTATGATTTACAAAGAGACTATTTATTTTTTATATATATAGGTTACGATCATTTTTGTTCCTAAATTTTTTAAATAGGTAGTTGTAAGAGTATCATTGAATAGATATAAAATTCTAAAAAAAATGTTTAGATTTTGTGACTCACTCTGAGCCATTCAATTTGATATCTGACTATAAATGTTCGTGGCCTCAATGTACAAAAAATAAATAGTCTCTTTATGTATAATCCCTTATATTATTTTCTTCTTCTGCATTTCATCTAATAGATAAGTTTTGTACCTAAAATTTGATTGATAAAACAATAGGTTTTCAATCTTAAATTATTTTGTTCTTCATTTTTGTATTATTTATTTAAATATTTTAGTGTCTCTTGGGCTTCAAAATCGTAGATCTTAAGTGTAAATGTATTTAGAGTGACTTAAAATGTGTTTAAGATACTAAATTTCTCTCTAAAATCAATTTTGGAAATTATATTATAGTGTTAAAGCATTTTTCATGAATCATATAAAAAACAAAGATTATATGCTAATGCTTTCAACGTAAAAAGTTTAGTGCTTTGACATTGCTACCACTCGTTTTGCTTATTGGATAGATCGAAATCAACCATATGGATTGACAAAAAATAGGAAAGAGCATTAAAATAATGGGAGAACCTGATCGTTCCTTGATCCAGATCGTCAGGGTTTCAAACACAGTTGAAATCGGACCATAGGGTTCTAATATATATTTTTTTAAAAAAAAAAGGGATAAAAAAAACACTTAATTTTATTGTAAATATATATAATCTAAAGTGCATCCCCAAATTTAGATATAAAAAAAAAACCTCCCGTCTACATTTTTGCTCGAAGTAGCAATTACACAATTGTAATCCCGCGGGAGTACATTATGTGAAATTAAACTACCTTATTTTAAAAAGAAAAATAGAGCTCACCAAATCTTAAAAAGTGTGTTTTTTTGGACAGAAACCAAGGGGCGAATGAGCCGTCAGCGGCCAACGGACCGCACGGTCACGGTCACTTTACACACAGACGGAAACCGTGCGATTTCTGACACGTGGAAGTCTTGTAGCCACTGATGATCCGTAACGTGTCCGTTAGATATTCCACAGATCTGTTTGGAGTGCTTAGAAGCCCTGACTATGAACTAAATGACGGACTACTCCTCCTTTGCAAATGAATGTCTTCTCTCTTTCTACTGAAAAATTCGACCTTGGTAACTTATTGATATAAGTTGGGGTTAGAGTATCACATTTGTAATGCGATCGATGGTCTTGATCGGTTCGATTTTGATAGCCGGCTTTTTTTTGTTCAATTTTTTTCATAATTTATCTTTTTTTTAAGATCAACTCTTCCTTTCTCTTTCTTACTCGCATTATCAATGTTTTGAAAAAAATGCGGATCCGGATTTATTTCTAGGTAACGAGGAATGAGGTGGTTCCTAGGTAAAAGCTGGTCAGCTTTTTAACATAACCAGTTTTGTTAGAAAACTAGCCGATTTGGTCTATTTTTTTAAATTATAATTTTTCAATTTTACTAAATTTTTTTATTTTTTATTGGCCAATTCTCTCGACTAGCCAGTTTTTAGATGGTCGGTTCACCTTGTCAATCAAGTTTTGAAATATTGTGTGTTTTAAATAATCTCAAATCAAAATTATTTTTACTTTGGATTAAACCAATTAAACAACCAATTAAATGTATGACCAGCTGGTCTAGTCCATCTCGATTACTATGATTATAGCCTTCCTTTTGGTTGCCATTTTAATAATTATTTAAACTACAAGATTTGTGAGTCAATTGGGTTTAGGAAATTGGAAGATCCAAATTGAAGGAAAGTACTCAAGCGAAATAACAAACACGTTTGAACTCATATATTTTCATGTCCAATTATATGTTATTTTTGTTAACAGCTTAAATGAATCCGGATCGAGATCTTTTTCCTAGTGGGAAATTATTTAAAATATATGTGAGAGATCAACTAGTTAACATTAGGAAAGTATATAGTTAAATAATTTGCTTTTGGTACAAGGTGGTCATATTTAATCTTGACAATTGGATGTAAAATTGGATGGATGTGCTTATTTCATTGACCAAGCTCAAACTTCAAAATAAAATTTTTCGAACTTTGTGACATACCTAAACTATATAAAATTTTATAGGGGATGGTTATAAGTAATTGTGATCTCCATATATTAAAGGTAAATGGTCTCGTTGTATACAATCCCTTTAACATTTTATATGTTACTTTTGATTCAATTTTCAAATACTGATCAGAATACGTGCGAGCATGAGTTGGAATAGTGGGAAAACAATAAATTATTATAAAGTTAATTACGTTTTGATAATATAATTTTCTTAATTATTAAACAAGTTTGAAGTTACTTCGGTAAGGGGTGCATTTTATATATGGTTGCAACCTTAATTGTAAAAGTAAAAATGTGATGTTCTGTACCGTTCATTTTCATTGGATGGTGTAAATTTTACATGTTTTGCAAAAGGAAAAGTATAGAATGAGACTATTTACCTTTGATACAAGATGATCGCAAAAATCTTGACCATTGGATATGAAATTGGTTAGCTGCAATTATTCCATTGGCAAACTCAAACTTCAAAATAATTTTTCTTGAACTTTGTAACACATCAAAGCTATCAAATTTCACATCAAATAACGTAAGGAATTGTGACCACCTTATATCAAAGGTAAATGGTTTCATTGTATACAATCCCTTTTCCAAAATTATCAAAAAACAGCACACTTTTTCAGATAATACTAAATCTATTTGTCCAAAAAAATTGAATGTAAAGATTACTACAACCTCACTTCTACAAATGTGGTTGCAACCTTATATAAATTTTTTATTTGGGTGACTTAACATCAACTATCAAACAAAAGAAGGGGTGCGGCTTATATAAGGTTAATGCCTTAAATAATTAAACAAAGATGCAACTCCAAATGATGCCGAAAGATGTTGTTTTAGAGCCAAAAATTCATATGATAGCCTAAAAAAACTATTTTTACCTCTAATTTTGAAATTTAAGCTTCAAAAGTATTATAAATCTAACATATATATAAAAACCTGATAAGTTTGAAAATTGACAATTAAAATATGCACTATTTAGAGGACTTGAAATCTTTTTTTTTTTTTCAACACCCATATATGTAAAGGTCAAGATGATCAATTAGATGGATTTTTTGGCATCATAATGACATTTTCTCGTGAGTTAAAAAACTTTTTTTTGGGTAATTCAGTGGGGAAGACAGACCTTACTAGTATTTTTAAATAATATAGGAGTTAATTTTTTGAAAATATTAACGGAGTGGTATTAGTAATATAGAAGCCACAACGTGGTGACCAGAGAGTAGGGGTTACCATGACCCCACCACTTTCCCATAATATAAGATTTATACTTTATATAAATTTTTCCCAAAAAATAAACTCTAGAAAAATAGAAGCCCTTTAATCCTCATTTCGAGGGCTATTTTCGCAATTATGTAACTGATCCGAGGAGGTCCACGTCATTCAAGAGAAACAAAAAGGGTGTTTCGGGCCTTCGCTCTTTTCGTACGCGACGGACACGTGTCCCCAGAAAGTGATACTCTGATTCGTACGGATCTCAGGTTACCACAGTGGTTTAAGAAAAGCGCAGACCGCCGGCTAAACCTAACCCAATCCACCGACACTCTTTAACCCACGATTAGCTCCACGTGGACACCACATCGGACGGCCAAAAAAGTGCCACGTGGAGTATTGCACTTGTTCCTACGTCACACGTGTATCGTAAGGCGTGTGAAAGAGACGGTGTACCGTCTCTCTCTTTTAAAAAAGGGTTAAGAAGGCGGCCGGCTACCATACACCCACCCGGTGGTTCGCTGTTTTGAGAGGAAGGTAAGAGAGAGAAAGAAAGAGAGAGAGACAGAAGGGTTAGCTTCTCATGATTGGACGGGGCGACCAGCCTCTCTCTCTCTCTCTCTCTCTCTCTTCATTAGGCTGCATGTCTCTCTCTCTCCTCCTTCGATTTCATGCCTCTCTCTCTCCTCGTTAGGCTTCCTTTCCTCTCTCTCTCTCCCCTACGAGGCTTCTTCTCTCTCTCACTTTGGGTTAGCAATGGATTCGGATCCGACCGGAGACTTGAGATCCCGATCGGCCTAAATTCATCATGGATCCAAGAATTGGACCCAAAAACTATTTGGATCTTGCTTCGGATCCATGTAGACCGACCCGGACCTCATATGAACAGTATTATTATATAGATAACATTTATAACATATTTTTTAAAAATATTTAAATAAATTTATCTCTATATTTTTAATTATAATATTTAAATAAGGGTGTGGTTTGTAGAGAGCCAAGGCTATTACAATCGAAATAGAGTGCACCTTCAAATAGTATCGAGAAATGTGGTTTCAATATTAAAAATCTTTGTGATAGCCTTATTATATATTTTTACCTCTAATTATAAATTTATAAGTTTGAAAAATAGTGTAGATTGAATAGATTTATGAAAACTTTAAAGTCATGAAAATTGATGGTCAAAAAATGCATTACAAGATGCAGTATTTCCAAAACTCAAAATTCATTTTTTTCTCGTGTTCTGTACCATTTTTTTCTCTTGATATCGAGATGATGAATTTGAACATCAAAACATCTTCTAATGAAATTTTTGAGGTACGATCTAATTTGATTGTTTA